CGCCTTGAGTCTAGCGCGTATTGATTGATCTCAAACCTCTTTGTGACCATGATACCAAAGAATGAACGGAGAAAATGTATTGCATGCAGATCAAAATACGAACACAAGATATGGTGATATCAAGAGAGATACATCTCCAGGACCCATCAACTATTCTCCTGATTAATGAATGCATTTACACACAGCGTTGACCTACACCTAGTAAGTGTTATGCAAATCGAAGGAGTCAAGAGTCAAGAGTCAAGTCGAACGATCATTCTCATTAAAGTTTTTTTAATCCGAGTACTACATGATTTAGTTGATTACTACCGAAAGCGTTTTGCTTTAGATCCATTTCCGAAGTTCATCCGCCCTTGCCATCTTCGGTTTCGAGTGAAGGAGGGGCGAAAAAAAGAGAGGGAGAGGAGAGGTGGGAGGGTGGCTCGGGTGGGAGAGGAAGAGACCGAGGAAGAGCAAGAGGAAGAAAAAGAGAGGTGGGAATAATAATCTTGACCGGGTATCTACGACCTAGATACAGTTAGTAGGTACGAATACGGAGTAGACCGAGGGAAAATATATCCGCCCCCACCTCGACCTCGTGATCATATCCATCCATACAGACCATACAGACCATACAGACCATACAGACCATACAGACCATACAGACCATACAGACCATACAGACCATACAGACCATACAGACCATACAGACCATGCAGACCATGCAGAGTATAACTTCAATTGCGACTCGCGAGTCCTCCATCACAATCCTGCGAATCAAATATTTCTTCAGCATCTTGTACCATTTTATCCAAATTCCCATACCCATAGACTTGCATACTCAATGTCGATCATCAATGGCAGAATACACCTGGGTCCTGGGCATTCAGGAAAGGAAGACAGCTAGCTATTTACTATCTATCCAGTATCAAACAACACAAATCTTACATCTCACATCTCACATCTCTCTCCTTCTCTTTCTACCATTCCCAGAATTTGATTCACAACCTCTCAAGTCCAAGTCCAAGTCCAAGTTCAATCCCGCGAGTATACTTCCGTCTACTCTGCTCTGTGATTACCTACACATACCGGTATCATATCACACGCTTTATACGCATTGAATACCCCCTCGGAAACATATAACTGTGTATGTACAAAGGACAAAGTATAACTTATGATTGATTTCTCCATAGAGGGGCTTCCCTGTTCAACAATGCACCACATATATGCAATCAACTCCAAGACTATCGCTTCGGCACTTACAAGGCTTATTCTTCAATCAAATCCCGATAATGGATGGGTGGGCATCGATTTGTTTGGTTCACGCGCCTCACATTCAATCGATTTTTGTTTGGCTAATACATTGGGATGAATGAAAGTCGAGGAATATGACGAGTTTTTCTTTCCAAGATGGTATGTTTCGATAAATGTGATGAATCATGAATGTGATGATATTCATTTCAAGATAGGTTTGGAGGATATATGAAAGATGACGATGGTTCGATGTGACGAATGCTTGGGCACGAAAGAAGTCGAGGTTGTTTCTTGTCCTCTTCTTCCATTTCATCACCATGATGAAGTTCGGCATAAATACTCGAGGATACCTACTGTACTCACGTCGATGTTCAACAGTCAACAGTCAACAGTCAACAGTCAACAGTCAACAGTCAACAGTCAACAATCAACAATCAACAATCAACAATCAATCTCGTCGGGCAAAACGAAGCGAAATTCGAGATTCTGTCAAATATCTATCGCTGATTCATTCACCCATGATCCATCATGACCCATGTTGTCATAAGGATCATAACATCCATGGTTGAAACGGTGATTAATTGATTGGAAGTGGGGATCAAAAAAACAGAGTTTTTAAAGCTAAACTTTGATGATCTTCCTCTATTGGTAAATCTCTGCATGATCTAACCCTTTCCTGTCATTCAATCCGATGACTCGTTATATAATTGAGCTACCGCCATAAACGTCTTCAAATCTCAAGTACGATGCATTCGGAGGATGAACTCAAGTTGGCTTCGTTTACCCGCTACTTAAGATTGGGTTTCAATTTTGAGGGGATCAAATCACGTGCTTGGATGGTCCCTCGAGTGAGAAGGCTAGTAGTTGATTTGTATTGTACTTTGTTGCTTATCTATCTGCGTGTCTGGGCGAGGGCATACGCTTGAGGCAGAAAGAATCTTCTTTTGCTTTTGCATCATAATAACTCGTTGTATTTTAAAATTAACCCACTGCTACACCACAGGATTAATAATGGATGCCATTTTGTATAACCACTCGAGTGAGAAGGGTCTTCAGTTGCTTGCATATTGTTGCTTACCTATGTGTTCCCATTCCATTTTCTTTCTTTACTCTGTTCGGGTTAAACTCTCATGAATGGAGTGCATGGTGAGGTACACTCGTTCGCTTCAATCAAGGAACAAACATACCAAGTCACCTCTTTCCCATGCATACGCAATGCAACTCTCCAAATGCCGATCTGATACTCGGGAACTTGACATGCATCAAGTGATCAATGTGATTTCTTGGCATCATGCCATTTAATTTACCGATATTGCATAGAGAGAAGTATGTAAAAAAACGAGTGTGTGATTGATGGTATGATTTTCGTAGGGTTTCTGTTGCGGGTGGCTGGAAATGGAGACGGGTTGTTTTGGGTTACGCTGGTAGGTGGTATGTTTGATACCGGATGTGAAGGGTGTACGTTTCATGTGTCGTGCTGACTATGCGAGCTTATGGCTTATGGTTCTGATTATTGATGTGATTCGTGAATGGCTCACAATCGAACTCCATTGAGAATTAGTCCATCTCACGCCTTTGCTTTTCAGAATCACGAACAGTTCTATCTCATCCGTAAATGAATGATCATGCTTGTATCACCATGAGCTATTCATCCCATATAGCCATGATATCTCGTGGTATTTGTCTTCTTTTACTCCATGCTCAATGCCGCGCTCGACAAATGATGCTCCAGTCGCAGTTCCTCTTCGACTTTTTTTCGGAATCATATCATGCTAATGAGCTTGCCGCAAGTGTAGCTATAGATTATTAATACGCTATAGTTTACAAAAACGCTAAGTGGCGGGTTGAAGCATGATTATGAATGGTAGGAGGTAAAAGTGTGCGTATTTTACATGGATGGGGGAGAGAAGAGAAATTTCTGCTTGTCCGCATGTGCTTTTTTGTTTGTTTGTTTGTTAAGCATATGTTGTGATTCTTAGAAAGCAGAATAGATAATTATCGAGTGATTTTTTTGTGCTTCGTTCTCATTTGGTCCAACTGTGTCTTTTAGACTCCATAACAAAGTTCGGGCAGTAGAGTGGGATTTCTATGTGTTTGATGTCGTGAAATAACATTTCAGGTCGCTACTGTACAATTCTGACTTATGTTTATCTTGAATTCTCGAGTCCCGTCGAGGAACTTAATGAGGAAATTCAATACTAGATGAATTGTCAGAGATGAGCAGGAGGTTGAAACCCCATTTGCTGCATGGTAATAAAGTTTCCGGTGTGTTTGATATTAATTTATAGATGCAATGAGCTACTGTATCGTACTCTGAACCTATCTATCAAAATTAGTGGAACAGAGAATGAGAGGCTCCTTAATCTTCAATTGGTTTCTTATGTAGAAAATTTATCCCGGTCGTGTGATCACGTGAATAAAGAATAAGTAGACTTGAAGATTACAGGAGAAGAGAATATTCTAGGCAGTGTTCTCATAGCTAGGAATGTCATAGGAACTCGGTAAACATTCAGTGGTTCAATTGTCCAGAAATATGAGAGCTCCTAATTAGTTGAAGAAATTTGACTGTGATTTACCATCTACGAAGTTATTGTCATCTTACCAGAACCTTGAGGCAAAAATTTATTCGTTAATTTTGTCCTTTTCTTGCAATGTTGACTTCTAGATTAACAAGTTATTCTTATTTCCATTGAGAATTTGAGATCGAGTATGGCATATGCCGTGGTAAAGAGCCTAAAATATGCATTTGAGGTGCCTGACTTGAAGTAACACTCCACCCGTAACACAGCTCAGAGTCAATATTCACAGTCTACTTCACAATCCTATTTACTTTCGAGTCCCAATGTGTCTAAGCCTGGGCGCTGGATCGAGTCGTCTTCCGGAGCTCCCAATGGGAAAGAATATATGGCGAGAAAAAGCGTGCAGGGGGTATTTACACCCTCTCTCACTTCGCGCGGATGCGCTGGGAAAGCAATGGCGTATGTGGAGTTACGCGTTGCGATCGCTGGGAGGTTGTGGTATTTTGATTTTGAGAGACTGAGGGATTCGAACATTGATGGAGTAGGAGAGGAAAGGATGGGATAGAGGAGGGGGGAGAAGGAGAAGATGTTAAGGTATCATCAGTTTTCCACTGTGCATCACGGGTCGAACTTGGTGTTTAGAGCGAGGGAGAAATTGAGGAATTAGAGAAAGGAGAAGTTTGAGAAGAAGATTGGAGAGTAAGCAGGGTGATAGGGAGAGGATAGTTTATTAATTTAGTACAATAAATGAATGATTAATGATGATAGGAAGAACTTCTGATTCGTGGGTATTGACATTGATATATACCAATTCCATAATAACAGATTTTATAACAGGACCGAGTGGTTCGGAAGTTCAGAAGTAATAATTATTTCCTTGACATGACTCTACTTGGGAATTTTCTATCACTTCTAACATACACCCTTCTTGTGGTCTTAATAGGGATATCAAACAGGAGCACGCGATAACAGTCTGTACCCAACCGACTAGAGGTTCCAAATATGAGTAGGGCTCCAGTATTGATGGTATTATCGGATGCCTAGATGTCCTGGAGTTTGTCTTTATAGAATAATATCCAAGTAAATATGACGACGAGATATCTAGGCATGTCCAGCCACAATGTCACAGTTCTAGATCAACCTTGGAATACCTAGTACCCATGTAACCTGTCAGTATATAAGTACACCATGTTCAGATCACGTGTACGTGTATACCCCACTCCAGTCCTCGTCCGATACGTCTCCAATATGGCACAAGTGTCTTCTACAGTCATTCCAATGAACAACCTTGGAAATAGTGTCCCGACGACCTCTGCAGCCGTGAAGAAAAACTCAAGACCTCCAACTGCAAGTCTGGGAGTTGGAAATCTTACAGTTGCTTCTTTACCACAAGGACAACCACAACCGCAAACACCTGTGACTTCGAGGAGCACCACAGGTAGCAGCCATACAAATGCGATTATTCAAATCAAGGACCCAATAATCTTGGGCAGCAAAGTGTATAAATCCAAGGTCATCCATCACCTCCGCAATCGACAGTATATCAATTTGCTCCACCATGCGGATGCACAGCCAACGTCTCCTGTCAACAGCATGCACCCGTCTCAAATACCAATCCCATTGTTAATTGTGTGAAATTTCTTGCTTTCTGGGACTGCGTGCCTGTTGGAACTATTGCTGCTGCTGTTTCTTTCATCATTGGTACTGTCGTTTCATATCTTACTATGAAACTGGCCATTTGGACTGCTACTAAAGACTACATCGAACATTGTCAGGCAGATGAGGTATATCCCCTTCACTCATCTCATAGATGAGGTGTATCTGTGCTAATACATCTTCAGGAGGTACAACGTGCGACTGTTCAATGTGTGAAAGCAGCTGGTCAAGTCCTTCCTCCTCCTCCTTTCTTCCAGTACGACCCCAAAAACGATACCCTTGTTCGTCGAACATTGGGTGGAAAACTACTAGGGTCCACGAAGTCCAATATCTACGACAGTAGTTATGTTTGGGCATGTGCGCTACTGGGCCATGCGTTTTGTTGGTTGGTTCTATCTGCGATATGCTATTTTGCATGGAAATTACCTGATATTCGATACAATCCAAGACGACCTGACAGAGATTTCATATGTAGACCCCCATATAGCTATAAGTCCGAGTACCACGAGCCCATGCAAGGTACAACTTCAGCAATAATCAATAACGAGGGTAACAACACAACGTATATGAGACGCCGAGGTCACAATCGCCATAACTCAAATTCAATGTTCCCTTTACTCGAAGAGAATGCAATGTATAGCATAGAAAGAGATGAAAACCTTACACGAAAATCATTGGCAATTCGATTTCACAAGCATCGTTTGGACCCGTCTTGGAAGGCAGATGACATAAGGAGGCTGCCCTACACGGTGCATACGCATATTACATTTAGTAAGATCAGGAATGGCCATCAGCGCTCATCAAGGAAACAAATTCAAATTCATAAATTAATGCATCTCAACATCAGAAATCTTCTGGGACTTTATGGATTGGAGATTTCTGTTCGTACTAAGAATGCAAAACGTATCTCATTGATTGACATGCTATTTATTTCTCCCCTCAAGGATATTCTCATATCTTTTCCGTGGGAAACCGGCACTATCAGAAGCATCGTCGAGAAACTAGTGAGGGATGAGGATGCTGAAAGATTTGTGAAGTTCTACGAGGGAAATGGACCAAAACTTCAGAAAGTTATCAAAAAAGCTATCTTTTCTGGTCTCGATACTCTCAGATTTACTGGAGTTGATAGTGAAGGCAAGCTTCTCGCTTTGGTTCATATTCAAGACAGCCTGTATCTTGCTGAATTCACTCTAGGTACTTACAGCTGGGGTGACATACTGCAAGACACAGAAGAAACATTTACTGTAGCTGTCATCACAGATACAAATCCTCATTGCGACTGGAGGGAAAGCGATATGCAAATAACGCCAACAATAGTGAACAATTACCACCTAATGTATTGAGCTAATCCTCTTGAACCTTTCATTGGGCCTGATAGCAAGAGTCACCTGAAACTCCTAAAATCATTCTCCGAAGAAGGGAGAGCTCGTGCGTTGACCGCCAAATGGACTAGAAATCAACAACGAAGGGATCATTTTGATATGTTCCAAGATCGAAACGCAATCTTCGTGGAATTTCTGAATAATAACCGCCAAGATGATGACAGTCAATTCAAGACCACGTATATATCTGGCGACGATCAAGATATTTTGAAAGTCCGGAGAGCAAAAAGGATGAATGAAGCTCGGAAGTCAATAATCTGAAAGGCGATGATAAAATCCATGCCCAGATTATCCTCATATCTTTCAGTCAGTATAGAGACCATTGAGCTTTGAAGACATGCTATCACCAGTTGTACGACTTAAGCTTAATCTGTTCGACCATCATTTTTACACACGCACTGCCTCCCAAGAACAAATCAAAAATCAAAGTTCCACATAAAAAAAGAGATACAAGAATCGGGTAATTCCGACTCAAGTTGAGAAACCCCGAGAGCATTCAATGGCCGAAACCATGGATCGAATAAGAACTCTGTAAACCCAGGGTTTCTTCCGTGGGCGCTGTTCGACTTCGAGATCTTATTCTACAGAAGCGAAACTAAGGAAGCATGACCACACCGTCTCAAGATTAATCAAGTATGTTAGATCGCTCAAGAGGGGCTACCCGTCCACATGGACACACGAGGTGAAGGAGAGATAAATCCCGCATGCCAACACCAACGGATGTGCGATTAAGCCGCAGTGATATTACCACTACGCCATACAGCAACCTCGCAATTTTGTTGCTTGCGAGGTATTCAATTATAAATAGGCGAAGTCGGTACGGTAAGAGATGTTTGCTTTGATTGTCTTGAGTTTGTTCAGTTTGGCGAGGTGGTCGAAAGTGAGATATTCGCTTGTTTATTTTCGAGACCAACAAGCTTGCGACTTGTGGAATATATTTTGGTGGGAAACGAGTGAAACATCGGACGAGAGTGAAGTCTGGAATTTGAAGCATCTGGTGATAGTGAATGACTTGAATGAAGGTCGCGAGTTTGCGACAATCCGTGCGGCGACCATGTTCACATGTTATCTTTATAGGTGAATCATTTTGTGATTGATGAAAGAACCCGAGAGGTATAGAAGCACAACATTATGATCTTCAATATCCGGAAGGGCTGTCAATACTGAAATAGATAGAATATCATTAGAAGAATACCGCGCGAACATGTGCAGTGGGGCATATCTAGGAGCAATACCTCGAAGGAGACAAACGGCGTGCACTCGCACACGCATTAACATATATTCCATTGCCATGGCCCTGAGATTTAGGATAAACCATTCTTGGTGCTACTACAATATGTATTAAAAATCCGTTCCGTAACCTCGAATCTTGAAGTCTTTAATACCACGAATGCACAATCAAAGAATATTCAGGATCCGATTGAAGCAATAGAAACATTTAACAAGAAATACAAGAAGTGTTAAAGGATTCAAAACAAAACCGCTAAACGAATGGGATACAAGAAGTATAAATATCGTGGTAAAGTTCCTAGTCTCTCTCTCTCGTTTCTAGTATTTTCTACACAATCCCCAACCAAGAAAAAATAACCCCTAAATTTCCTTCCCACTACGAAAGCTGAATATCGAACTATAATACCTACGCTTTAATCTAAACCCAAAGCCAAAGTCAAAGAATCAGAAGTATTACAATCCAGTATATTCCTAATAAGAATAAGAATACTCCAAAAGAACACCGACTTCATGAGCATCCAAGTACCTAGCGAGCTAGGTGTACACCCCTCGGCTAAGCTCTGGACCCATTTTTTTAGATTGAATATTTAGGGAGCCAGGTAACTTGTCTTATATGAGCAATCAATTATCTTGATCGTTATTCGAGATTATCAAGCTAATTAATTACTCCTCTAGTTCTAGAGATGATCTTGCAGCATAACAATAGACAAATCTAGCTACTCTAGCTACTCTCGCTACTTCTCACTCCCCGGGCCGATCCAGTATTTTCTTAACATCACCAAATACATCACCGAATACATCAACACCTCATCTCAAAGCCACTCACTCCAACTCCGCTCTCAAAAAAGAAAACAGCTTGATTACGGAGGTAACTATTCTGCAAACTTCTCATTCTCCTATTCAGCTCCCTCTCATATACCCAAGTTCTACTCCTCCCATGGCTTATTCTCTCAATCCCCTAATCTTCACCACTTTAAACCTCACCCCTCTCCCCTCTCCCCTTTCTACCTATCTACCTATCACTTATTCAACACTTATCCATTCCCAACCATACATCTCTATCTCCCATAACCACAATCTCACTCAATCCCCTACTTCCTTTTGAGAAACCTTCATCTTAATCTCAATCTCAATCTCAATCTCAATCTCAATCTCAATCACCATCTCAATCACCATCTTCCCCATCCATCCCTATTTCTATCAACCCTATCAACCCCCTTCCTTCAAACCCCAGACATATCCAAACAACGCAATGAATATTTTCATCACCCAGAAGCATTAAATATTCAATACATTGAATCAATCAAAGACTTTGTCTCAGCAGAAATTGGATAATATGATCCCAACTACGTGTAAACATCACCATCGTTGGTGCGTTAAAGACATGATACGCCAATTGAAAGTCATTTGAATGTGGTGAGATATTCGCTCGACCGTGAAGTTTATTTCTAGATATACTTAAAAGAAAATCAACCTTGATACTAATTATTTGAACGGAAGAAGTAGTTATCTTGAAACTCTATAATTATGTTCCAATCTTTTATCTTCCTTTATGATTGATAATGGATCTAATCATGCTCTAGCATTCCCACTTTCCTCGAATTCCGTACGATATCCATGCAAGACAAACCATCGCTAATTCATATTCCAAATTTTCCTGTTCTTATTCCTCCTCTCATTCTCTGCTTCTCCCTTGCAGATATATGCATAAATCCCACCTTCACCTTTTTAATAATCCCCTCCAAAATTCATTGGAACCAACTCCACTTTTCCACCCCGCCTAGCACCTACTCCCCCATCCTCGCCGCCTGCAACCCCTCTAATCATCAATAAACCCAATCTACCCCTCAATTTTCCCCTATTCCCAGTCACCAAACTCTCTGAACCATCCGTACTATCCGTTCCAACTCTTCTCGCTCTCGCATGGAAATGATTTGCCATTGCCGTTTGACCATGCTTACGAATTCTATTTGCATTACCGAAAGAAGTAGGATTTGGACTTGAGAATGATTCGTCGGAACTTTCTTGTTCGATCTCAACGGCCTCATCATTGTCCTCCCCTTGACTGCTATGAACCGATCTACATGCAACGTGAGTCGAGCCCAGTTTTTCATCATCTGCTGAGTTGAAGACCTGGCCCTCATTTTCATCCTCAGTCTTATCATCATCCTTCTTCTCTTCTCCGTTTTTAGGGTTCTCTTTGGACGATCCGAGTGTCTGCCCCTCTATTCCAGAGTTTGAACACGTCAACACAGAACCAGAATCAATCTCACTAGCTACACTTTCGAGATCACCCGTAGCCACAACAGCTTTATTTGGGCCCCTGTTTTCAAAGCCAGATCGAGATTCGCATCTCTCCTTAAGTTTGCGAGCATTTAAATAGGCCAGTGAAGAAGCCACATCAATATCATCAGCCACAATAGTCTTTGCCATCTTTTGTAAACTCCTGTTTCGATGTCCAGAACCAGATCTTCTATCAGTTCCGACTCCAAGCAATATACTAACTGGAGACCTAGCTCTCAGAGTGTTTTCAGATGCGGTATCAGAATCCACAGATCTGGTATCGTTAGGGCTAGAAATAATAGAAACAGGTCCAGCGAGAGAAGGCTCTGGATCGTTCCTTGCCGGCTCAGGTAGTTTGAAAAGTCCAAATGGAATTGAAGCTGAGCTACGAGCTCTTCGAAGTGCCTTTCGAACTGTGCTCCTATATGGGACTTCCTCTGAGTTTGCCTCTTCGGTGCTGTGCTCTGCACTGTGATCCAATGAAAACTTTCCTCTCAAGGATTGTTTTGATACCGAATGGATAAGTGGTCTGAGTTTTCGTTTTATTCGGTTGAGGGTTGGAAAGCGGGGAATCTCCGAATCGCTTCCTTCACTCATAGGGAAGGAGAAAATTGTACCGGAAGTATCTTCTTGTCTTGATGCACGTTTAGATGTATTTGTAGATGATTTTTGAAGAAACCGATCACCATTTTGTATTGATGAAGAGTGGTTGTTACCAGAAGTTGTAGACCTAGTTGACACGAAACGTGAAGTATTTTGTGCTGGAATAGGCTCTGATCCTCTGCGTCGGGAGCTGAATAGAGATTTTGTGGCAGACCACGTTGGTTTCCATCTCTCCTCGGTTTGCTTGAAACTAGTGATGGCTCCGGTACGCAATAGATTTTCTTCTGCACCAGAGCCACCACGCAAGCTGACTTTTCTTCGACTGTGAGCATCAGCCTCAGGATTATCGATAAGATACTCATGAGTGAAATCAGAATCGCTATTTGGTAAGTTATAACATGAGGGTGCGGAGGCAAGATCCCGCAGTTCAATCTCATCAATAATGATAGATTCATGACCTTCTTCACACTTTTTGATGGTTATTTTAGTAAGAGTATTCAAAGGCGTGGTAGAAGTAGCAGGCGAATCAATCCTTTCCGCAGCTTGAGGCATAAGAGGTCTAACAGTAGAATCGCTGATAGCAGAATGACTTCGGGAAATTCTGTTGCTCCTGCTTCGATCGTCAGCTCCATCCCCAATTCGCAGAGCTCCTGGCCACACAGGAGCTGCTTGCATCGTTGCGCCAGGATTGGTGCGACGGTTGGATTTTATATAGCGCCCAATGTTATCCGTGCAACAGCAGAAACTCATTAAAATCATAAAGCACACGCATACAGCTATTATATACATAAGCTGGTATGGGGTGACTGCAAGGCGTCCGAACTGTGGAAAATTCGAATGTACATTCGTAGATGGTTCGCTTTGAACGTTTGTAGGTGTAGGTTTTGTGACGGCTAGTTGAATGTTCGACGGTTCTCTGTACAATAGAGAGGTTATGAGTGTCTGAATAGGTTCTAAGGTAGAAGTTTTCGTGGTTGTTATGGCTGGTAAAGCGAGCCAACTACTCCTTGTACTCGTAGAAATCGATGTTATCAAAGTGTTTTGCACAAGCTCGCGACTTGCCACGATAGTAGATGTAACGAACTCCGGAGCTATTCCTATTGGATCTTGTAAAAATCGAAGAATAGCCATGTTGTCTTTGTTTATTGTTTGGAACGGTGCGTGTCAAGGCGTCGCAGTCAATAAAACGATATATTTAGGTATGCCTCTGTAAGTTAAATTGATAATGCAATGTCTAGTTGTAGATTTGTGATTGTGTAACAATGCGCAGGATTGAGAAATATCAGTATCCAAATGTGCGGGTTTGTGAGGCAACGAGAGAGAGAATGGAAAAGAGGTGTAATAGTTTTAACTAATGGTTGATAATACAAGAAAGAGCGATCGTGAGCTGAATTGAACTGCCAATGATGAATCTGGAAGCTGCACCTCATCCTCCAACTGACTGCCGCAGCTTTAGCGACACTGCTTTTCTGAATATATCATTTCAGATCTAACGACAAAATTTAAACTTTTCAGCTTAATCCCCTCTTTAAAAGGATTTTCTTAGACTTTCGAACCTAACATTACTTGAGCTTCTTTGGGAGGCGCGATTTCCCAATTTCCCAATTTCCAATCCATGCATCTGCGAGGGTTTGGATCTTGCCAGTGTTTGAATGTCGCTGTTGTTTAGAAGGCGCACGGCGATCTCTAATTATAATGGCGTATAGCAGACAGTTTGCTACTGACATAGTTCTTGGGCTTGCTGTAAATACACCACTTCTCTGCCATGGCCAATTAACTATTAGGCTAGCGCCGGGAAACCAAATACAACCATCATTCAGATCTCAGATCTTGCCAAAAGAGGGCAAGAAAAAAACAAAAGACCTGGATTCAAATCGCTGAAAATTTAAAAAGGAGGAAAGCGTGTTCAAGATGAGGCATCTTTTGAGTTGGTTAAGAAAAGGGGAAGCCTCCGCAGTTCTCGCTTACAAGATCCATGACTTTAAGAAGTGGACTGGCAAGGTCAGATAACAAGCATCTATAGGCCATTTCAAGACCATTGAGATGCAATGAGCTATTCAAAAAGGCGAACTTTCAATCCCCATGTTCTCCTGACACATATCATGTGTGAAGAGCAGTTGTAGTAGACAGACCTAGTGGCTGAGCTAGCTTGGGTGGATCTTTCCCCCTTTGTCAACAATTCCGTGAAATCAGTGCTGTTGATCAAATCAAATCTATCAATTGTTGTTTCCCAGTTCTGGATCTACTGATTTCTTACAACATTTAAACTATGTTGTCATGCTATTGAAATACAAGACCTATAAGTGGTTGGCTGACAAAGATGCCATCTTGGTCAGTAAAGCTACCCGTAATAAATTTGGCGCGTCGCGACTTTTCCACTTTAGCACGCGTTACCCCAATTCAATCCGTACATGCATAGCAGTGAGGAACATTCTAACTCAAAATTGGGATACAATTTTGAAATAACGACAAAATGATACGTCAAGACCCAAACAGATTCTCCAAGAGACAAAAGCCAGACTATAGGAAAACTCAATTTGCAGAAAAGCCTGCCTACAAAGATCTCAACTACCCGCACCGTTTGAATTTCTACACAATACCTCCTACGGCTGATATAACTCTCGAACAATTTGAGCAATGGGCTATTGATCGCCTGCGAGGTATTTGAGCAACTTAGTCATACCTGCGAATATATAATAACATAAAAAATAGTTCTCGCAGAACTCGAAGCATGTTCATTCAGAAACAGAACCCCTGCCGAGACAGCAGCCCACATGAAGCCCCTTCTCGATAAATATTTACCACTCTCTGCTTCTTCGTCTGGATCTAGCGCACTGCAGGCCGAGAGACAGAAGGATCATTATAGTCATTTTATCCTGCGGCTTGCTTTTGCTTCTACAGAAGACTTGCGAAGACGATTTTCTCGTGTGGAGTCTATGCTATTCCGTTTGCGGTTCCAGGCAGACGATCTAAGAGAACGACAATCGTTTGTGGAGGGTCTCAATCTAGATTGGGAGACGGTGAGTGAGGATGAGAAAAGAGATTATTGGGAGCAATTGAAGGGTGCAGCCGGCAGAGATAAGATGAGGATTGAAGAAGAGAGTTGGTTCAAAGTAGACTGGGAGAGAGTCCCGGAATTAGTAGAGAGTCGGAGAGTATTTTTAAGGTGTGGAAAGGCGTATGTTCATTCCAGGGAACAACTATCAATGGTTGTTGCGGAATTCACAAGCAAGCTGGATAAAGCTTTGGAGGTTTGTTTGATTTTTCTAAATCCTTATTACGAATTATTCTAATTGCTCGCTCAGATCACATCTCGCGCACTTCCTCGGCTTGATGAAGATGATCGACTAACACCAATTCTTACACATCTTTCTCAAAACTTCACCACACCGGATGCGAATTACTCCAGCTCAGCAACTGCAGTCGATGGAGCTGACATATCCGCCCGTAATATCGACGCACTTTCCTCTTCATTCCCTCTCTGCATGCAAAACCTCCATAAATCCCTCCGCCGGGATGCACATCTCAAACATTACGGTCGTCTTCAATACACCCTATTCCTCAAGGGTATCGGCTTGAATCTGGAAGAATGTCTCGTATTCTGGCGCTCCGCCTTCAGTAAAATCACAGATGATGTCTTCAATAAAGAATACAGATACAATGTTCGTCACTCGTATGGTGACGTGGGAGGAGATTCGAATCGCAGAGGCAATGGGTATTCTCCGTTTAGTTGTCAGAAGATATTGACGGAGCATCCTCCGGGACCAGGAGAATCACACGGTTGTCCTTACAGGCATTTTAGTGTGGACAATCTAACTTCATTATTGCGCGCCGTAGGCGTGAACGACCATGAGGTTTTGAGAGGAGTAAAAGAAGATAAAGAGAAGCAGAAGTTCCATCTTGCTTGTAATAGGTATGTAATGCAAGACCGCTTCTTCGAAAGCTGCTAACAGATAATGTCCAGAGTCTTTGAGTACGCACATAAGCAGGAGATTAAGAAAGTGAAAGATGATGGTACATGGGGTGCAGCACAATTAGAAACCATTGTACACCCCAATGAGTACTTTAAACGAAGTTATCTACTCAAGAATATGAGCAAAGCCCCTGCTGTAGGGGAGGATGTCAAAATGGATGGTTAAGTGCTATATGAATTGTATATGACATAGGTTAGTACTGGCGTTACTGGTTGGGAGTAGAGAGTGTCTTCACGTCCTGTATGATAAGATACCGTAATCAAGACACAATGTCCTTTTTTTTCTAGTGAGGCAAGCAATGCATACATCAAGAGTACACCTTCACTTTAAACACACTTCGTTCTTCTGAGTCTTCTCATTCATTTGACACTCGTCTGTTCCTTTTGGATGCACAATGGTCTCAAGAATCTTCCGACGACACTCCGTCATTGCTGCTATTTCCTGATGCTTTTTTCAACCTTTTTGGTCAACCAGACACTGACTTGCTCCGATAGTTTCAAGGAATGGCCAAAAAATCAATCTTCCCCCTCGCTGGTTTCTAGACAATTTGCATTCTAGATATTTCAGTGATCGATATATTTGGCCAAGGATTCGCACCACAAAGTCAGTCATCTCTCGCCATTCACTCTATTCAAGTGCCCCACTCCACATTACGATTTATATCAAACAACAACTTTGCGCTAACACCTTGTCAAGCACTCCCGAGTCACTCACGCACAAATAGTTCACAAAAAAACATTCAGCCACTACCCATTTATCCAAATCTCGAATCAAACAGTCCTCGCCCTTGCAACTACATAAACAATTTCAAGCGAAAATGGCTGCCAATTCACACACAGAGTCTGCTATAAGCCGAGAGGGATTCACACCCTCAGAGGTTCCAATGCTAGCCTTTGGTTTTTGCTTGGGTTCAATTTTGGGATTCATTGCTTGGTACCTCATGTATTTCTACATGCTTAATTTTGCATTCCCTCGAATTGATGGAGTGCAGGCTCAGGAGATTCTCCAGAGAGATCGTAGGAACTCCGGAGTCGATGATTAGGGACGAGATCTGTCGCCGTGGGTGGTGTGGGTCTGTAGAGATTGTGAGAGTACCATCGCGCAATAAGGCATACCTCTTAACGGGGAGGGTGAGGTGATATCGGGTTTTGAGACTTGAGGAAGAGCTGTGGCTTGAGCTGAGTCAGGTCGATCTCCAGCTATGTTGGAAACTCTTTGCACCACAGCACACTTGGCTTCAACAACTCCGAGTTCCAGCACCGAAACACGTCGACAATCAACACATCAACTCAATGAATCATTCTCGCCTCGATTGATACTCTGCGCTTTATGAAATTTCTTCAACGGGTGCTGAGAGAAGAATAGTGGTGCTTGGAGTCAGAAGCCATACGGATTTCCTTCCTTTGCAAGTACGTACGATCCTACAACTTCCAACCTATTTCTCATTAGCTAATTCTATTATTTATCAGACGACAGAAAATGATTCACGCCTACTACCTGTGACGAATGCGGATTGCACACATTCCCGTTTCGGTGGTTAATCTCTTGGGGCGTCGTGTGCTAGATTAACTAAATCCATCTATTTAATTGCAAACGTCGGTTGATCATTTCACTTAAGTTGCCATTACAAAATGTTTTCGTTTCATATCTGATTTTAAAAATGTAAATTCACAAGGAATTCTCACGTTTGTTATTTCCCCATCCGAATCGTCAAGTGCAATTCTGCCCCCAAAAATAGCCGAAAACGGCAATTTCCACATCATTTCCCAATTAGGCCTTTTGTAAACTTTTTCCAAACATCCTTCTTTATTCACTTGTTTACAATAAATGATCCATGATGCTTGTGTTTCTTGCTTTACAATATTTTCAATATTTTTGTAGCTTTAGATGATGGGGAGAACATATAATTTATACGGGCCAAGAAATAAGAATATGTTAGATCTCCACCATCTCAACGCAGCGACTGTCGTGTGTGGATTGTTTCTGGGAGTTATGTTGGCGCTGATTGTTTTTATCGTTACATTTAGGGTGGCGGTGGATCATATGCAGGAATTAGAGGGACCAGGGATTGTCTAAGGGGATAGGGGCAAGAATCGACAAAGCTGCTTCTGAGTTGGAGATGCGTGAGAGATCAAGCTAGGCCTGTGGAAAAATGCAGAGGATGAAATATCTGCGTTGAGAGACTCTGTATAGATCTATTGCTAGGGTTCGGGGGGTAAAGGTAGAGACAAGGTCTAGAGGGACCAGAAGTATGGGTATGAAAATCTAGAGTTGTAAGTATGGTATTCAAGATGGTCCAGATAGTTCCTTTGGCTGGATACTGATGATAGGATTCATACATCTAGATTAAACAATCTGCATTTCAATATTCAGATTCACCGCCATAGCAGCACAATACAATCAGAGTCTGTTAATCTTATATTTGGCTTGTTATTCACCATATTCACTTTCGGCGAGAGATTAGTATGGATGGCAGATTGCAAGCCTTTAGCTTGCTATGCAATTGCTATTCTTGTACTCCTCTAACAAGTCTACAACATCAAGGCACAATTCCTCTATCTGTACAATTGCCAACATCTGTATGTACCTGTTTCTCTGCTTTCCCTTGCTACAACTAATTGTCACCGGCTAGATTATCCTATTTTGCGATCTGGTTTCGTAGATGATCTCATAATCGAAGTTCGAAGAATTTGAGGGACAGAAGACCAGTTATTGACAGATACTCTTTGCGCATCATCATCGTGGTCCCACAAACCCTTTCGACTACAGCCTCAATCTAGATTCATAGATATTTCCCAGATACACATCAAAAGACATCAAGATTCCAAAGCTGTCAGCAACAACATAATATCATTTAGAGGTCCAATCAACTTAGGCAAAGAATCCGATATTGAAACTATGGAAAACATGTCTCCTTTTTCAGCATTTGAGCATTCTGGAAGTGTCAGTGTTAGCGAACGGGCTGTCGACAAGACTGCAGCAATTGTAATGTTCGTTATCGGGATGTTGTTAGGACTGTCCTTCTTTATCCTTACACTGCGAATTTTCGATGAAACCATCCGACCAAAATACTTCCCATCACTCCCAAGCTTTCGCAGTTCGACAGAAAGAGTTACTAGGAGCTCAGGGGGCACGCCTATCACGCCGATAGAGAGATATAGAGGGTTGGTTTAGATGCGGGTCAGATGGATTATATGTTGGGGCTGCTTTGTGGGTGGATCCGAGTTGATTAAGTTAGGAAATATCGATTCTGTTCACAGAAATCATGGGTGGCGCCACTGGTTCAAGCCTTTGGGGTTAATCATGTGGTCATATATATCTCCTTTGCGTATTTCTAAATTAGCCGATGGTAAATGAAGAGCCTCAATTTCATATTTTGGTCTATACCTTGTCTTTCTTGTTCGTTGACTGATTGAATGCTTTTCCGATGTCTTTGTTGTGCATCTTTGTTGTGTATCGCTCGCGATTGACATAAAGAAAAGCGGAAATACACTGGATTATATTTGTTTGTACCTATTTATTTTCAATCGGTATCTTCAAACTTTGATCAAAATATTTTCTGCTAATAATCATGGCAACGCGAGAAACGCCCTTTGCAGGAAAATATGGACATCCTCAAGGCCCAGGTCACGAAATACTCAGGGAGTGGCTCCCTTTGAAGAAAAGTGGATTGACACCGGCCTCACCAAGTGTAGTCGATTGGAGAAAGTTGGTGTCAGCAGATAGGCATAGGGCATTAGAAGATTACCAGAGAACGAGATTTTGGGGTAAGTGATCAATTATCTCATGAAGTAGCCAAAGCTGATTTGTGATAGGGTTTACTGCTCATGAGTTAGAACAAATTGGAGCACTGGCAGATATTAGGCCAGGTAAATGGGATTCCGATTCAACAACTGGACGGGTTGACCTTGGCACGGTTCCGATACACCCTATCTTTGAGAGGCAACATTGGGAAAGAGAAGATGTGATACCATTACATTTTCCCAAACATCCATATGGAGATGGCAACAAATTCTGGGAGGTAAGTGCAGGACTTTCGGATGGTAGGAACTGGATTTACTAGTGGAACTAGATCAAAGGCAACGATGAAATATGGGAGGCAATACAACCCGCTCTCAAGATTGTCACTCTTGTGCTGTCAAACGTCGCTACTTGGCAGTGGTAAAACTCTCGACTTTATCCATTGTCGTATTAATTTGCTGACAGAAAAAGGTTCGATGCACTACTCAATGGCATGTACCAGAAAATACCTGATGATGAACTACCTGCCGAAATCAGAGGGTCTGATTACTGGCGTTTTTATCCTTCAAACCTCTTCAACTATCAGGAGCGAACTGCTACGTTCAATGAATTCTTAAATGAAATAGTAGGTTCAATAACTTGGGGCTTCGGAATAGGACAAGTCTCCTTAGAATGTTTTCCCCAAGATGGGTACGTAAACGAATCACAAATTTTGGTGTCTTTCACATGAAACTCTGTATCCCAAGCTCAAGTCTCATCCTCTGTTTATCTCAAGAAACTCCAATGTAATTCCTAATTTAGCTTTCTTTTCTAATTTTCCCCAAAACTATTCTTGAACAGGGAACACTGACTCCCCTGGCATTAATAGGACCTATACCAACGGTATAACAGTTGGCCCTAGAAATTCGGTATTGAATCTCAAGGGCACTACTTTCATTTTAATTGCTCATGATATAGTCGAACCACTGTTGAATCCAAACTTGCTGCCGGAAGATAGAGCGCTAAACACCTTTCACATCGTCTCTGTGGTATTACACGAACTCACGGTTTGTGACTCTTCAATATTCTAGATGAAAATTTCATTGCTGACTCAAAAAGCATGCAATGGTTACCTATCTATCAGCGAAAATGAAAGGTTCAGATTCGAGATATGACGGGGAACCTTATTTCATGGACGAGCCGATTGCTGAGACGTGAGTATTCAATTGAACTCGCTTGTTTAACCCAACTAACGTATATATCTCAAGTGGATTCTCTATGCAATCATCCGTATGTTGCAACAAAACTTTTTACAATGAATACTAATGTTATTCAGGTGTTTGGAGGAATCGACATCCCACTAGTCAGCGGTTTGGATCTCCCGGGCAAATCCTGTGGAGGAATAGTTCAGTAAGTGATCTTTTCGTCTTACATCTAGCTAGCAATACTCACTCGGAACTTAGATTTAATTTCCCCAGTGTGTGGTTTGGTGGAGTCTCTGGAGGTCCTATGCTTCCCCCGTCAGAAACTCAGAAATTGTGGGATATCAGAGCGTGTTATCCAGTACCTGTAGATTGGTTCATGGGGCTACATGATCAAAATTTCTGGGGTTTTTACTTACGAGCGTAAGTACCATAAATATATCACACAATAGACTCTCAGGGCAGTGATCTAATTCATCCATTATAGTTTCGGTCCCAAGGCCACACACATGGGTCCGAAGATTGTTGGGCAATAGAATTTTAAAAGCGATCAACTATATGCAACAGCTCCTAAAGGCGATGAAGACACCTCTTATCTCGATGTGCCATCATTAGCACGAGAATCTGAGATGGTGTCAGTTTATATAGAAAATGCGCGTCGGAGAAGGGTTAAAAAAATCATGGAGAGGGCTCAGAATATAAGTCCAAAGCAGCCAGGGCATTATCACTATTCGCAACGAGTAGCCCTGAAAGATAAAGCTCCATACTCGGGTCAAACTGTGAGCATACTTTGTCCTTTAATTCTGCATCTTCTCAACTGAGGAATCCAATGCTCTCATCATACATGTTTTTTCTCTTACCTGTTCACAAGCAAATTTGCTTATCGAAGATTTCTCTTGTTTCATTACATGATCACATTGACAGATACTGACTTGCTATTAATCCAGTGTCCAAGATACGATGAGATCAAGAAATATTTTGAGGATAACAGAACCGCTTTGGGACTAGGAGCCATGAAATTTATCATACCTTCACCCTTATTAAGAAGTTATGTTGTACGCCATGGTGGAATCAACCTCACAAATTTAGAATGGACAAACTTTTTCGTGGTAGCTAATGGTCATAAGGAAATGTTCACGTAAGGATCCCACTAATGTATCAAGGCATTTTGAAAGGCACAATATACTTATAGATGAACAGATATAGTCACGCCGGACATGGAATGATTGGCTTAATCAAAGATGGCTGGAGGAGACCAGAAATTCCAATAGGACCTAAACGTCAACCGTCACTACTGCGTCGAGTGTCAACCAGACTTCAATCTCCTGCTTCAAAGTCCAAGCGTGATCAACTGCAGCCGCCAAGCGATAAACTAGCAAAAGTATTCGCAATTGTCTGCTCTGCTGTACTTAAAAAGGTTGATCCCCTAGAAGCAACATTAGATTTCTGCAAGAACAATTTTCGGGAAACGTGTAACGCTGCTTGGGGATTAAACAGGAGTCTCCTCGAGAGAAAGGGTTATGAGATTCCGGATCTGCCAAATGGATTTCCAGAGGGTTCAAGTCATCTTGATAGATGCATATATTGGTCGGACTTGTTTGATAATGAGGCTCCAGAAGGAATGGTTAGAAGAATGAGATTCGAGGAACCAGCGCTTATAGAGCCAGAACTACGTGGCAGGAAAAAGTTGTGGAAGAAGTGTGTGTTTCAAAGTCAGGCTGAGAGATAAAATGATTTAGATTGAGACGTGGGATTCATGTGTTTACCTCTTCATCTGTTTGTTTACTTGTCCTTTCATTATCAAAATAGTATGTTTAAGAATACAGCGAGGATTGTGAACCCTACGCTGGTTTTGTGACTATTGTATCTTCCGGTTCTGGTAATAGACCAATGGTTCTGTAGCCTATCTCTAATTGCAAGCTAATAGCCTTGTTGTGTTTGTTTTCAATGGCACTTTACTTGCTTCCACCTTGAACACTCTCTTGCTCCCTCTCCAGAGTCTGTAGTCACATCCTGGCTTTTTCAAATTCGTGTCCTCCAAGATACTTTTTGGAGCAAATGGCTATCCTTGCAACCCTGCTCTATCCTTTTCGAAATCACACACATAATAGTATTATCTTCCATTTGTCAAACATATCCACCCGGCAAGTGGATATACTGATACCCCTTGAAAAAGACATAGCTCTGCACTATCTAATTCTCAACAACGTCCTCGTTATCGACCATTTTGATTAACCCTTTCGCCCATAAAGCAGGTAAAGCCTTCTCATTCGTCCACTCCGTACACTTCCAGAATTTTGGTACTTCCTCCTCGTCTCTATACAGCGTTCCATCTACCTTACAAGCTTCCATCTTCATGCTTTTCGGATTGAACCATCTTTGTCTTGGAGGCGGTGGAATACTCCTCAGAACTCCTGTCACTTCCTCTAAATCAGACACAGCAATTTTGCCCAAAAGATTGCTTTGATAGAATGACTCGAAAGACTCTGGTGGCGGTGAAGGGAATTTTAAATAACTCGTTCCGCTAGCAGAGACGATATCTCCATTGACTTCACAGATTGTACCAGAGCCATCTTTAGAGGTTTCAATAAAGATATTGGTGTGGTAGCGTATATCTTGAGGCATGAAAGGATCTTGCATTGCGAGATGCCATTGGATTTTGTAGATTTTGTAGATTTTGTAGGTTGGCAAAGTCATCTTCTCGTGCTGATATCGAGTAGGCATCAAAGAGTTGTTGTCAAGAACTGGCGAGGGAAATCTGGAAAACCATCATTGGCTAGTCTTGCTGCATACGGGGCTGAGGCTGATTTGCTGCAACTTCAAACATCGAACTACTTAGGTACGTACATAGTGTGTTGGGCAAGCGAGGCAAGTAGCGCTAGCTCAAGGACTTAACGCACTAGTCGTTCAGATAGATTATCACGAAGGGTCACACCTTCAAAACCTATTCGAGCAAAGGTAAAGCAATAGAAAGATAAAGGCTGCAACAACCAAGCACAGTATTGCAGCTATAGTGAAGAATCGACGAATCGCATCATGTTCATATCTCTGTCTCGGGGGGGGCAACCGTGACTGTCGCAATCAACGGAGTACGTTCGTTGCTCTCCATCATTTTATCGAGAGATCCTTATTAAGTTCAATCGAAGCTGGAGTCATCTAGAAGATGAAGTTCAGCCGAGAGATTTGACCAAGTGGGTTTGAATTCGACTTTCGCATGCGTCATGGCATGTGAGACAGATTATCGAGCATTTCGTCTCACTGTCATGTCATCGCCAACGTCAACATATTATTATTATTATTCGAAGTGGGGTGCCAATAACACGCTAAACACACTCCCGCGGCCGCAATTCCGAAAATGCGGGGAGATTGCGACAGCTCTACGAACAATAATCAGTCACTTTCGCAACTCCAATATCTCTCATATTTCGAACAATTGCCCCCTATCATTTGATAAAATGTCCCCTAGATTACCGTATCTTCCAAGACGATCGTTCACAAGTCTGCGAAGTCCTATATCAAAACGCTTCGAAACAACGGTAACGCGCCAACCAGATGCCATTTCAGATTCACGATGGCTGGGTACGATCAAAGCTAGGATTGGAAAATGTATAATGTTTGGAATGAGTCGAGAACAAGCACGAGATGCAGGGAAAATACTCGAAGTACTGGGGCGAGACTGGAGGGAATTGTTAGCTGGAAGACATGGTTATTTGGTGGATAAAAAGAGAGCTGGTCTAAGTCGACATAAGGTTGTCTGGGGGGAGATGGACTGTATGGTATATTTCCCTTCTAGGTAGAAGGGCTGGAGAACTATATCTTCCTAGATATATGTTGAAGTAAATCAAGGAGCTAACTGTTACTGCGCAACAGAAACATGTTAATAATGTCATGTATATACGATATGCAGAGAGTGCAAGAGTAAATTGGGCTCAAAATTATGCTGTTCATATCGATCCCCAAAACCAAGAAAAATGGAGACGAATGTGTACGCCCGAGGGCTATGGAATGATACTGAGAAGCATAAAGACGACCTATCTTTTTGTGAGTCTTTTCTAGTATTCCCTTTCTCTATCGGATCGTGCGTATACATTTACACTCTAGCTAACAAACATTAGCCGATGACATGGCCAGATCACATTTCCGTATATCACAAACTCACTCATAAACCCAAAAGTAAAGACGAATTCTCTTTCAAATTGGATGTCTTAATCGTATCGGAATTACATCAGCGAGCAGCTGCAAGATGCGAGGAAGATATTGTGACGTATGATTATGTAAAAGGAAAGAAAGAGGGCTTACAACCATGGCTTTTGGATGCTTTTGCGAAGACTTGGGACGAGCAAAATATGGCGATGAATAATGCACTGAAAAAGATCAAGTATATAGAAGAGAAGGTTAGGAAGTTGGAGGTTGATACCTGGGACAGGGCAGATGCGGTAGAGGATATGGGAACACCGAATAGGGCTTGAAAGGCGATAGATAAGGCACAAAAAGTGGTTGTTGTCGATAATTCAGCACATCCACAAGGGCGAGAATCAGCTCTAGCTACGAGGTGTGCCGGAATATGTGCCAAAATTAGCATAGCTGGTTCACATGGTACCGACGCAGCAGCAGAACGAGAAGTCGTCCGAATCTGTAAATTTGGAAAGTAGAGCAAGGCTTATACTGGGAGATTGGTTTTGCATAGAACGTCGGTGATGAATGATAGAAGGATATGTAAGTGCGTATAACAATCTTATGGACGTCGAAACACGTGCCCCAGTGCAAGCGATGGATGCCTCCCATCTCTCGATTTACAAAAGCCATTCAAACAGCAACCATTTGCCTCCTGTTGTTTCAAATGGGCTATCACTCATCCAGATCAGTCCGAGCACTCTGCCTTGCATAATCTTGCCTCATTTTCTGCACAAACTCGGCAGAAAATCTAGCATCAAATCTTATCAATATCAATATTTACAACACCATCTTTCATTCCTCGTCAATCTATGCATATATACTAGCGATTTGAGACTGAGGAAATGGAAGTGGAAATTATTCTTTCCGCATGACGAGAGTGAAAATTGGGCAAAGATTCAAGGGATGGGCACGTTTGTATCCTTCTAATTCTATCGAACTCACGGCAATGTCAAAAATTTCGCCTATGTTTGTCATATACGAATCGTTCATCCATGAGCCAAATCGGCGACTTTGTTTCATGTCAATGAGATAGGATTATTCATTTCTCACATTCTCGCGAGGAAATTTCTTCGAAATATTCTAGTTCCAAAAGCCAACAACGTTTCCAGGGACCTATCCTACCTCTACTAAGATTCTAATTCAAGACACAACCAAATTCATTCAAGATTTCTTCTCATATTCACACTGAATACAATAAGAACCCCAATACATCTCAGTAAGCAACCCCACATCTTCCCACCACCCCAACTGCACATGTCCCATCTTCCTCCCTGGACACGCATAATGAAAATCTTTCACCATTTCCCAAACTCCCGGCCCCAGAGTCTCACTTGGCTGATATCCCCATTGCGTCCCCAGTTTCGTCTTCCTCTCCACTAGATACCACACCGTCCCATCTTCCTCTTCTTTGGAACCCCAGACTGCTTCTATCTTTCCCAGGCTCCCCCCATTTGTCCCGAAATTAACCGGCCAGCATATATTGACAAAAAGGGTTTTCACGCATCGTAGCATGAAATCAAGATAAAAAAGCCCTGGTATCGGCGCCTTCAGTACAATCCATCCCCACCATGATAAAGTCTTCGCCTGCCGTTTTGCTTCTACATCTCCCAAATCGTAAATATCTCCGGGGATACGAGTCGGACCGGGAAGTTTATGCCAGGCCATGGGTGTGTACCATCCATACATTGGCTTATCTATCTCTTTCTCTTTTCCTTCCGTCGGTTCTGGTTCCGGATCAGGCCTCCAGTAACATTCATAATTCATTGATATTTCACTCATGCGCAATTCAGTAGCTTTTTTAGTATCCAGTTTCCATCTAGAATCTGTGAGCTCGGTAAAGGTAAGAGAACTGATGTCGACGAGAGGTCCAAGTTTACGACTCTTTACTGTGTTCAGAAAGCGTCTGAATACTCGTTGAGCGCTGTATTCGTGTCAGTATAAAACAAAAATATACATCATTTCATCTCCATTTCCACTTCCAACTTCTAACAAGAACAAACTCACCCTCTCCCATGGCTCTCCCAATATCCATTAACCTGCAACGGCGCGCTGACCATCAAGCCCGGCACCACCAGCTCTAACAATCCTCTATGCCAAAATTTAACATGTTTGCTCGTTGCAAATAGAAATGTGTGAGGCGTCACCACATTCTTTAATTCGTGGTAGTATTGCACGATGTTACGTTTATATCCCAGTCCCTGCATGAAGAGTTCTTCGATCCTGCTCAACCCGCGCGGAAAATAGAATGATATGGCGGTGTCGGGGAGTGCGAAATCTTCTCCTGAGTTGCGTGTTAGTTTTTGTAGAGCTATATACGATGAATAACACATGACATATAACATTTGAATCTGACGATTAGCAGAACAAGCACCCTAAAAATACCGAAAGTAAACAGAAAACACTTACTCAAAATCTCCACCCAGCATTGGAACATAACCAATTGACACAATCCCTTCAATCCCTTCGCACCATATCCCACATCCAATTTCCATTCCTCTCCTATATCTTTCCTCCTCTCCTCTCCTCTCACCCGCCTTCCATCCATCTTCCCAATCCCAACACAGACCGCCTTGGAAACCATCAAACACCCCAGCGGTAAAATCTCACTCCGTATAAAACCCACCTGCTCCGCATACAGCTCCGACGCTTTCCAATGAGCCTTCAATTTATGCCATACCGCAAGCATCTGACTCAAACGTAGCAGATCCTCCTTGGGCGGAATATTGCGACGTGGAACTGGATTTTTCACAGCGGGTTCAGCCATTTTGGAGAACTAATTAGAATATCCCTTGCGGATCAAAATAAAGTATGAACATAAGTTCCTAGGTTTTGCAAACTTTTGATGCGCTCGCATTTATAGACAAAGCGGAATCTAACAACATATCACCTAATGCAGATTGTTGCAAACCATGCATACATGCACATCGCACTTCTTTGTCAACAAAATTCTAGAGATCATGAAAGACCGAAAATTAGGCACGTACAAGGAAATCGATGAAAACAGAAACAAACAATTGGAACAAGAGCTATCCACCTAGTAGATCCCACGAAAAAATGCTCAAGTTCCGGGCAAAGAGTAATAGCTACCTGACTGATGGTACTAGTACCAAAGAAACACAGTGATTAGTCAAAACCTTGAGTGACTATATACCATATAAACATCGATAGTTTATTTGTACTGTTTTGTAGTAGTATCGTATGAATATCACTCGCAATAATGTCTTGTTCAGTATCGAAATACCTGTGTATATCATCATTCACCAAATCAATCAAAGTAGTGGAAATGAATTTGAAAAAGGGCAAAACAAGTTTATCACGTTGTTCTATACACTAACATGTATCTTGTTTTGCTTGCATATATCTCATCTCATCTCAAATCACCCTCGCATACCCATATTCACCCCTTCCCGTCTCCCACGCTTTGCCCGGTCAGATCTCATCCCTGACACGGTCACACCATCCACCTCTGAAACCTAATCATTACATGAAAACAAAACCCGATAAGAAGACCGCAAAAGAGAGTGTGAAAAAAGTCGGTTCGAAAATGCATACAACGCTCCACGCCTGCCAGTAGCCTGCCAAACCACCAATTTCCAAGCCCATGGAATAAACACAAGAAAGAAAAATAAACTCCTCCCCTTTCCGTTCATTGAAATCCATCCTTCTAGCCATCGAGCTTAGAAGTTGGAGCCTATGCTTTTGCTCCATGTATGTTCTAATCTCTTCGTCGATCATGGTGACTCGACGGACCGAAATCAGGTGGATCTTGATGGGGTTTCTTGGTTTTTGGCATCTTGACGTTGAATCGGGCTAAGAGTGCTAGATGATCACTAGGGAAATGGTAGTGTGGTAAACCGGGCACTGTTCTCATGTACTCTTCATCTACAGGTCCCAACAAATCAGTATTTTCGAGTGCGTTAGTCGAGTACCAGATATGATCAATGTGATCAGTGAAGCCGGGTGTGTAATTGGTCCATGTTAATTCTTGTGGACCATCGGCTAAGTTGGTATAGGCGGATCGAAGGGAGAAAGGGTGTTCAATTCCATCTCTCGTGAAATTTCCATATTGATAGTTGCCAAGGTCTGGATGATCTGGAGCAACTCTTCCAGTAGCTAACAATTCGTACACACTGGAGTCTGAAGTAGAATTTAAATCACCACAAACAATGAGCGGTATTTGGGTCTTATTCGTATATTCCATGGACGGGGCAGGTTCTGGAGCAACTTCCACAGGGGCATCAGGGTCTGAATCGTCCGTAATAGTATACGCTTTTTTATCTTTGCATGCTGGGTGTCGTTGATATTTCTCAGCAAATTTGCTGATGCTCTCCATTAGAATTGCGATTTGGATCAGTTTGACATCAGCATACGCTGGATCCCAGAATATGTGTGCATTGGCAACAATAACGCGTGATCCAGTGAGGCGGTTCTCGAAGAAAGCTAACACTGCAATGTGATCCCTAGGCATGACACGATTGAAAATGTCATGTTGATTTTTCATATCAGGTCTGTTAATTGCGATGTTTGCAAAATCGATAAGTTGCTTATCGAGAAGAATGTATTTGTTGTTCTTATAGAAGGTTGCGCAGCCATCGACAGCCTTTGCAGCCGACTCTGACATAGTCTTGGCTCGTGATTTTGGCCACCATACACCTTTATAGTCTTTGTATGCAAGTTTCACACTGAAAAATTCGCGAAAGTTTTCAGCATCAACTTCTTGGAGACATACAAAGTCTGCATCTCGTTCTTCGATTTCGCGTAGTATCTCGTGCCTTCGATGCTCCCAATCCAATGCTTTAGATGGAACGTAACCGTATTGACCGGGTCCCACATAGTTATCACATAAAATGTTGTAAGAGAAAACAGTGAACCGCTCGACGTCAGGGGCAACCGTCGTGCCATTCAGTAGATCAATCATTTCTCTAGGGGCGGGAGGAGGAGGTACTTGGGGACGAATTAGTCACGAGATAGAAATTGTAGACTTATGAACTCACCTGGAGCTTCTTCTTTAAGAGTATGAATAAGAGCTTTAGTTCCCTTCTCCATGATTTCACTTCTAATGGCAGGATCCATTTGTTTATTGCCTTCGATGCCTAACATCTCGAGTTGATAGAGTGATCCAAATGATTGTGGTAATGACGTAAGTTGATTATCGAACAGTAGTAAATTTTTCAGATATACACACATGCCTAATTCGGGGGGTAGGGTCTGCAATGCGTTGTTTGAGGCATCAAGATGACGGAGGTGTCGCAATTGACCAATGGCTGAAGGTATAGATGTGAGGGCGTTGGATGCCACGTATAACTCTTGGAGGAAAGTATAGTGGAATACTTCAATTGATAATGCTCGTAGTCCAAGTCCGCTCATATCCATATTATGCCAATCTTGACGCTTAATAGTATCCGTGTTCGAGGGCCTGTTTCGACTCGCATTCTCTGATTCTTCCTCGGTTGATATCGTTGTGGCTTTGTCAACAGTATTTTCCCCTGCTTTGGATCTAGCAAAATAATGCGCACCACTCTGTTTTGCCTTCTTTCCTTCCGCATACAAATCCAATTGCTTCTGCCAGTGTTCGTTCATTACCTGAGCCTGAGCACTATGTGCGTTTGTCGTATGTCCGTTTTGTAGGTTGGGAGTGAAAGTGGAAGCCGAATTCTGCATGCCAACAGATGGGAAGTTCGCATGGTGGTTCACCCCGTTGGAATTGTGTGCATTATGGTCTTGTTGAATATTGGCGTGGTGTTGATTATGCTGAGACTGATGTGTAGGAAAGTGAGGATATGGCATCATGCTTGCCATAGCGCCTCGTCCTGCGCCATTGACACGGCCATGCTGCCCTTGCTGATGGTTAAACATACCGTAAAGACCGTGAGCGGGAGATTGAGGATCGGGGGTTCGACTTGGGGATGGAGTATTCGTGTTAAAGGCAGACCGAATGTTATTTGGAGGTGTCCCAGTACGTATCAAATGTCTTGGATGGTGTGTAGTTTGAGGGTAATAATAGTTCCCAGCGCTCTGCTGTGAAAATCTGTAACCATCTGCCATTAAAACCACCGCAGATAGAGATCTAGCGGAGGCGTCAGCTCAGCTTTGTGAGCGCAGGCCGTTGAAAGAGATGGAATAAATCGAGGACCGGTTAAACTGGTGGTTTCGAAGCTGGAGATCGGTTTCTTCTTCGTTGGCACATAGGTCTCTCGAGAATATCTTCTGGAATATACCACGATATCAAAGTTACCAGTGGTGGGGTGCGCTGCTGTGCGCGAAGCAATCGATGTTGGAATCAGATAGATATGTATGTTTTCAAAGTTTCGGTACGGGGAATTGTGTGCGGCGCGTATTCAGGGTATTTAATCGACTTTTGGGCTTTCTTGAAAGATCTCGCAGAGCTAAAGAGTGAACCGTTCAAGTTGTAAGTGTCGGGTCTATTATCTTGTAACTGGTAAGTGGCTATCTTGAGATGTGAACACCGTTGAAAGGAAAAGAATTTGTCTTTTCACTTAAGAAGCAAAAGAAATAGTACTACCTTTGAGTCAAGATGAAAACCTTCTCATGCGTTAAAACACTGCGAGGAAAAGAGGATCTTGTAGGATTGAATTCGCTGTATTGATGTTATCGTCAACTTCCTGCTTAAGATGTGGTTCACCCACTAAAGCTCCAACTAGGACTGAGCCGAACCTCAACATGGATGAGAGCTTAGCGTCAAAAAAATGAAATCACGTGAATCTCAAGCGAGTGACTCTTGGGCTTCAATTCAAAGTTCTCGATGGTGTATGATTGTCAATTCTTATACAAACTGAAACTATATGCTTTGTCTTTGACTTTTTAATCAGTTTTGTTGAAATTATATGATAGTATTTCATGCTCAATACTCTTCAGGTTCTATAAAGTGGGTTTGCGATCCCATTTAAAGCATTACGGTCTTGTTCCAGGTATAAACAATGAATACTGCTAGATAGGTAGTACTTGCTATGTATGACGAGACGGCACTTGGTTGTCTCTTACATCAGTTAACTTTGCTCTTGGAATGTTTTCAGTCTACTCTGTTTCATGTTTTGAATCCATTGACCTATAGGATGGTTACTTCAAATCTATTTGAAACAAGTAAATACTCCCAATCTTTCATGCTCCTGTCCAACTGGATTCTGATGAGGTAGCATCCGTCCTTATCTAAGACTGAAAACTGTGCTATATGGAATATGGAATATGGAATATGGAATATGGAATATGGAATATGGAATATGGAATATGGAATATGGAATATGGAATATGGAATATGGAATATGGAATATGGAATACATTTGTCCCATGTTATATATGTAAGAAGCCTTTTGTCTTATCTTTTGCTGCATTTTAGATTGTCGAGTCCCAACATCCTGCAAGGCTTTATTTGATCTGGAATTCTAGATTCATCCAATCATCAATATCTCATTTAACACAATTAGATTCATCCTTTCAGCATAATCTCACAAGTTGCGGGCGGTTAGTCAAGTCGATGGGGTTTTTACGCACAACTCCGGATCAAATAGTTACTTTTCAGACGGTCCGGAGAAGTCACTATGTCTGTCTGAAGGAGCAGCCACGAATCCGAAAAGAAAACTGTTTAGTTGTTAGACGACTACTCTTGAGTGAAACCTGGGGTACGACGACACGGGGGTATAACTCAAACTGGTTGAAAGCTAACCCAACCAACATTAATCTCGGGGAAACTTTCAAAGGTACAAAGTTATATCACCAATCGGATCATGATTTAGGTTGGGTGGTGATTGGAACTTCCCTTCAAGCAGGGTATATCTGCGAGTGAGCGCGGGGAAGACTACCAATGCTGAAGTTAACCCTCCGAGCCCTCCAGGAAACGCTCGCTTCCAATGTATTGGACGTGGAGTTATAGGTCTTACTGCATACTCAATATTTTGAATTTCCCTCAATGGATCGATCTTTTCTTGAAACCCCGGCATTGGGAAATATGAATACGACCCTAGATATGAGTTCCTTTAGTTGCAAGATGTATGATCGTTCCCAACGAATTAGTTATCTAATTTGATGTTCAGAGTGATCTGATATATGCATGATTTGTCTAGACTTATTAGCTTTTCTGTATATATATCATGATATAAGGCTAGAATTTTCCCCTCCTTTCCCCGGATTTTCACAGCGAGGAATTAAAACTCCGCCAAAATCGATATTCATAACAATTTAAATTAATATAGTCGAATATCATCATCAGCATCACAACATTACGAGATATCAATTTAGGATCCTCGAGGTCTTCGCAAGTCCCCCCATCATTGGTCTATACGATACGGAAGTACTCGTACAATATTAGAAAACCCTTGACGCCCAAATGCCACTGGGTCGCTCAATCCGATCGATTTCTGGGATTTGCTTGTCTTTCTACCTGGTTTCCCGGTTGGATTTAATGCATAGAAAGGACTTTTCCATGATTCCACGTGCTATCAATCTGTCACTCGAATATACGAAGCTATATAGTCTCCAGCCCGATACGTGTTAACCTGACTACTCGCCTTGCTATCTTACTACTTCTGTACATGGTCAAGAGATCACCTGCAATGCGGAGAATTATACAAACTCTACTCGTACCTACTTAAATACTTCATCAAGCACTGCATTCACGAGTCACAAACATCTAACAGCGTCACATTACCGATACATACATATTTACTACTTTCATCAGATTCTTCCCCCAGCTTCCCCGTTTTAACACAGAAGTCCATTCGCTGTCTGGAACACGAATACTTCAAAATTCATCACGATACCAAAAGTTGGAGGGGGTTTTTAATTAGGCAAAAATATCAACGGATTTCCTTGGGTACTGGACCGAAACCTATAGCCATTATACTCCAGGAACTCGTCACCTATAACGATGATTTATTAGTTTTTAAATTGTTCACCAATGAGGCTCATTCGAATAATATAAAATCCAAGGAAAAGGGGGTCATCGTATTCATTCATCATGTCCGAAGCAGCCTTCTTTTATAATACCACGGTCCAAAAGCCTGATCGTTCCAAACCGCCATCAGCACATACAAATATCTCAGTCCATTCACAAGCACAGCCCGTGAGACTATTTTCCAAAGGCAGATCCAGATCCCAATCCAAATCCAATTCACAGAGAAATGATTTGTTATCACAATTAGATTCCGATCATCCAGTTCCACCACTAAATCTACAACAAATTCGCTCCTCTCCTCCCACTCTTGTTGGGACTCCCACATCTAGAGGCGATAATCATAAGAATAACGATCCATTTTCCGAAGTATTGATCAACACGAATACTGCAACTAGCTTGACTTCGACTTCGACTTCGGGTGTTGTAGGTGTGGGTATGCTATCAACCCCTTTACTCGATTACAAACACTCCGCAAATCAAACCAACAAAGCCCGGGCCGCTTCAGAAGCGAAAGCAAAGCGCAAATCATCATCGACTTCGGGTCATTCTTCTCACAGCATCAAAAATGCAAGCGGAGTGGAACGGTATGCCTCCACCAATTCCGCCGTCCACCAGCAGAGAGGAGCTTCCGATTCCGTAGGAAGATCAAATAGTATTTCAAGTACCACTGGTTCGAGTTCCATTTCGAAAATAAATTCATTGGAGAGAGATCGTGATCGTGATCGTGATCGTGATCCATTTGGATCATTATCACCAGAAGCTCTAATGGCACAACCCTTCACGAAACGAAATGGTCGCCGATACCTACGAGATCCTTCATTGGCATACCCCCTACCATGCGATCTTCCAGAAATCCATCGGCAGACTTTACGAACCATGTTATTGTGTCAAGTTTTCAACGGTCCTACATGTTCATCAGCTTTCAACAATCGTCCTCCCAAACGAGTACTCGAAATTGCTTGCGGCACAGGCTTTTGGAGTGTAATGTGCCATAAACATTTTTCGCACAAAGGCCATTCTTCGATACAATTCACGGGTATCGATATCGCACCGCTAGCTCCTCGTATGGATGCAGACGATGATATGAATTGGCGATTTGTTCAGCACGACTTGAGGAAGACGCCGCTCCCTTTTCGCGACGAAGAATTCTCCCTCATTATGGTCAAGGACTTTAGCATGGCACAATCTACAAAAGACAATCCGCAACCTTTAATGGATGAATATTTACGAATCTTAAAACCTGGAGGTGTATTGGAAATCTGGGACGGCGATCATACTATTCGAATGCTCTTATCACACGCACCACCAGCTGCAAAGGACAAAGATAATTCTGTTCAAGCTCAAAAACAAATACACACTAATGCAATGGGCGCATATACCATAACACCACAAACACCATTAGCAGAACCACAAAATCAATATCTCATAGACTACAATAAATGGATATCCAAGGCCCTCGACACTCGAGATTTACCCACCATGCCATGTACCAGTATTCGACCCATGCTTCTCCAAGAAGCCGCAGTCCTCGAACAAATCGAAAGTCGAAGATTAGCAATTCCCCTTGGTGAAGTACGTTGGGAACGTGAAGGAGTCGGCGGATCTACCACCTCCCTTAACGGACTTCATGGTTCGAAAGGGAAAGCTAAAGAAATTGATCGTAAACACCTTACACCGGGACAAGCGGCTCTTCGCAGAACAGCATTAATGAGCATTATACAAATGATTGAGAGTTTAGAACCATTATTAAAAGAAGCGAGTGGAAAGAGTATGGATGAATGGGATCGTTGGTGTGGGAATTTGATGACGGATTTGTTGAAGAATAATGGAACATCTTGGGGAGAATGTTTGGAAGTCGGTGCTTGGTGGGCAAAGAAAAAGGATCCAAAGTCTGATTCGAATACTTGAGAGGTGATTTACTGCCTTCGAATCTTTCTGGGTTTTCTCCTCAATCTTCTTCTCTTCGTATGTTTATATTGCCTACTACCATTTCGATCATTTCCTCGGCTGGCCTCCACTATATCATACCTCTTATTCATCCCGCGTATGCGAATAGATTTTCCACTTCATTCTCGTCTTAAGACATCTCGATTCCGGAACAGATATCCCTTCTCATCCTAAAATATCTCGAACCCGAAATAAATCTCTCAATATCGAAGTATATAGCCGATTGGATATATCACCGATATCATATGTTTTCCGCAAGGCTTGTATATATCTCCTACATCTGCATCCACGCCTGCATTTGCATCGGCGTATGCTATTCATCATTGGATATGATCGTCATCCTTCTTTGTATCTTTGGCGCAGCGCTCGATACCTTTTGAGATAGTACCTGGATATACCCAATATGTATTTAATCAGCTTATGTTTATATGTGTGTAAATTTGATACTTGTATTTTTGTCTGAACTTTTCACTTTAATCTTCTCAGGCTCTCACAACGAGTAATTGAGTAGACGAAGAGGATATTTGGCGATGTGGTAATGTGATAATGTGGTAATGTAAGTGATGTGATGGATCTAACGTACAATGCTTCAATTTCTAATCTCACCAAAACCATAGAGTCATTAGCATATGTATTCCAAAAAAAATCCCCTGCATTTCTCTCATTTCTTCTCCGCCCCTCTCTTCCCCTCCACACCCATCTCCTCTCTTCCCCTAACCCCCAACCCCCAAAATCCAATGGAACCAAAAGAAAAAGAATAAAAAGAATAGAAAAAGAACAAAACATACCCTTCCTTACAAACGCAGCCCGTTCAATCCCCGCGCGTATCTCAGCCGCAGTCGTCAAATGAGAATTGCTCATGAAAGCGCGGTGTAAACGGGTGCGGAAATAGGTGTAGCCGAGGGGGTAGGAACGCCCGAGGTTGAGGAGTTCTAGGAAGGGGGGAGGGTTAGTTGGGGAGGGTTTCTTGGAGAGAGAGGAGGATGATGGGAGAAGAGGAGGGGCGTACCTTTATATATCCCAATTACCTCTCTCCTTAGACTTGTCGACGAAGACATTATGTAGGTAGATACCTATTATGTGTAGAGGTAGGCAAGGTATGTAGGTATAGCACGTAGCTATTTGCTTCGCCTTCTTTGCTTACTTCAATTCGAGCTACTGAAACTTTAGCTTATCTACCCATCCCTATCGTCATCGTCATCGCCATCGCATTGCCATTGCGATCAGAATCTGTACTTCAATTCGTACTAACAAGGGCACTTACGATGCGTGATTGAATGAATATACAATGAGCAATTGAACAATCGAATAAGCAGTAACCAGCAACTGATCAATATCAATATACCCAGGTGGGTTGTGTCAAAAAATTCGTAAGTTTATGGTGTGACATTCGTACTGTAATACTGTACCTTCGTAATTAACGAACAATCAATGACGATATTCATTTTTATCCATCCCCACAATAACCGATATCCCTACTATGTGCACGGCCCTACTATGTGCACGCTCTTATTATTTATATAAAATATAATATTAAATTGAATTAAAAATCAAAAAAGCAATGAAATCATTTGAAATTTAAAATTAAGATAATTTGAATAAATTGATATAATATTTCAAAATGAAAAATCTGAAATTGTGAAAGATTATAATAATAAAACTAATAAATAAGATATTGAATTTTAATATAAGAAATTACTTATTTATTAATATATTTTTAATAGAATCGAAAATATAAGTTTTATTTAAAGAAATTATGAAATTCTTTATATTATAATATGAAATAATTAAAAAAATTAAACTTTTTCATTGAAATTCTGAAATTATATTGATATTAAATTCTAATAATTTTTCAAAAGAATATTTATAAAAATTAATTATTAATATAATAATGAATTTATAATATTTGACTTTACTTTTCAATTATATAATAATAACAGATTTTAAAATCTTATATAAATCTATTAAAATCTATAATTTACCAATATTATATTGAAATAAAGATTTAAAAATAAATATCAAGAATTTAATTTGATATAATATTAATAATAATATAAGCTTTTGTTAATAATTATTGAAATTTTAGTTTTTATAATCTTTGAATATATATATTTCATTTTAATATTAAAGAAGAAAGTTATATTAATTGATTTTTGATTTAATAAGAAATTTCAATATTTGAACTTTCAGGATTTATTAATATTAAAATGATTTTTATTAAGATTTTCTTTTTTTAAAAATTAATTTAATAATATTTTGAATTATAAAAACCTTTATTTTGAAATTGTTTATATTATTATAATAATTTCATTATTAGAATTTCATTATATATCATAAAAATAAGATTTAAAAGATTTTAAAAATAGAATTTTAAAAATGAAAGATTTATTTAAAGAATTTCTTTTGATTGGTTTATAATTTATATATTTTAATATTCAACATCATTTCTTTCAAAAAGACTATAATATTCAAAACTTCAATATTAAATAAAAAATTTAAATTCATTTTAAAATTCATTTTTAAAAAAACTTAAAATAATAAAAATAATTAGAAAATCTAATAATCTATATTAAAATCAATTCTTATTACTTTTTTAATTTTTTTGTTTTCTTTATAAAAGCATTAATATCAAAGAATCTATCAAAATATTTTTTAACTTTATAAATAAACTTTAATATATTTATTATTGAAAATTTATATATCAAAATTATATATTCTCTTTATATTATTATTTAATCAGTTTTTATTTTAATAATTTGAAATTCTAAAAAATCAAAATAAATAATATTATTGAATTCTGAAACTGAATTCTATCTTATTTTAATGATTTTTGAATTTTAAATTGAATTTTATTTTAATGAAAAAAACGTGCATATAGTAGGGTCGTGTACGTAGCAGGGATATCGGTTACGCTAATTATCATGAACTTGAACGACCATTTTCATGCCGAGGGATAAGAAGACTCGAAGATAAACGCTCGTCTAATTAATGTAACCTTACTAGCGAGCTACCTAGCCCATCCCATCCACCCTCCCACCCAATCCATCTACCTCAAGTCCAGTATATATCTCCAACCTTCCAGATACAACTTCAAAATCCCAAGATACCGTATCATCAATTGGAAAGATTCACAGCCCGCACTTTACGCTTTACGCTTTACGCTTTACTGAGACTTAACCAATGAATGAATCAGATACATATCGTACACAACTAAATCTCAGCTCGAATTTTCGAGATTTCGAGATTCCAGACTTCCAAGTGAGGAATTATGAGAAGAGAGATAGATGCGTTTGATATACTTATCCTCGGTTTTCTTTACGTTTTGTTATACTATATATCCATTATACATCACAATACATCACATATCCACACACTCACACTTTCAAGAGATTTCGATTCTCAATTGTACCACAATACAAGCATATAGTTCTCAATACACCCATCTAGAAAGTCTCCCAAGATCAGAGCGTCCTGGGGAAGTCTTCCCAAAACTGCTTTAGGAGATATACAGTGACTTCCTCTTACCTAACAGATAGTATGTCCATCTACTACCATACAAAGACATAAGTTACAGATCCTCAGGCTGCACAACTTCTCTTTTTCTTCCTCCTAATATTCATCATCCTTTGCATATCCCCTCTTTTACACTCGAGAAGAGAATTCCCTATCTCTGATCAAAATGCCAAATAAGAAAATAACACTAAAAATAATCAGATGAGTCCATCTAAAATTCTATCCGAGATGAAGTCGTTTCTGCAGTTGCACTCTCTAATGTAAGGGTATTCCAAGGTTGGTTGTGGTTCTCAAACTTCCAGTCTGATTCTGCAACTGTGTAGAGTGCAATGCAATGGGCGATTTATGGAAGTAGGTCGACCCAAAAGGATGGATGGATAAGTGCTATGTTACTTATGGTATGTGGGTTTATTAGAGAGTATCTAGTACCTAATGAAGCATGGATAGTCTAATCTGGTATGAATGGTGGTGTATGGATGTATGAGATGTGTGGTGAATATTACTCATTGCGAAAGATAAAAGAATGACAATTTCAGCCAGAAATAATTGACCTGGACGAGAAAATAAAAGTAATGCTTTGGCCAATTCCAAACCGACCTAGTAAGTAGCTGGGAGGGTTCATCCACGGACAAGACTGACAGCAGATATCTTCTCATTTTTCTTTCCTGAGAATTTATTCCGTGTTCTGATTGAGATTTATCTATTCCATGTAGGATTCTAGAATCAATAACATCTCTGTAATCATTCTGCAGCAAGCATTTCAGGAGTAAGAGTCAGATTCAAGTATATCTCACCTCATCAGACTCAACAACAACAGTCTACAAAAACATCTCAGTGTATGAAGAACAGTATATAGGCTACTATAGACATCATAATTACATTATGAAGCACCCTCTCTTCTTGCTCCACTCAAGTATCTGCTCTTCGTCGCTTCATTCTTGAACTCTCATCATTCATTCATGCAGTGAGGAAGAGAGTGAGAAATTATATCTGTCCGTTCATCTACTTACAATAAAGAAATCTATCCTATTTTGATAGTCTCGATTTTTGCATGTATTTATTATCCGATACACTTGATACCTGTTTATCTATATTACTACAACATATTCATCCTAACCTATCCCATCTTATTTCATTTCATCCCAATTCATATTCTCCATCAATAAACACATAAACACACAAAACCATAAAACCACAAAACAAATCAACAAACACGCAAGCAAGCGCATTCACCCAACAACTCACACATTTCATTTCTCGAAAATTCACCACTTCATATACTTAAATCTTTCTATATATCTAGACAGCTCTTCAGCTCCATTTCGATCAGATAGATAAAATCACCTCATCTCATCTCACATCATATCCCATACCCCCATCGCATCAGAGATATCGAATTAAAAAATCTGTATCAGAGCAGACAAGAGTAAATTTACTATTACCAATACGCTGGATTCCCACCTACTCTCACCCACTCGCACAAAAGTATCTTCCCATACACTTTATACACCATACACATCTTAAGCATTTCCGACCGCGCAAATGAGGACGAAATACAACGCATTCTCTATACATATCCCAGAAAATAAGTATACTAGAAAAATCCCGCACTGGCGGCTGGTGGTCTTTTGATATCTTATCTTATGTCTCCTCTTATTGGTAATTCATTATATTGAAAGAGTACTTTTTTATGTAACCCTAGGTGTAAGATTGAAGTTGAAGTTGAAATCCGATGAGACGGGATGTGATGAGATGAGATGGGGTGAAAACATTAGAAAGATAAAAAACAATATTCTTATTTATTTAGTAAAACTCCTAGAAAGGTTATACTCATATATAATATATATTTCACACATAGTAATATAGATCGAAAAGTAGAAGAGTAGAGCCTTACTATTAATATCGCTTAGAATACTTAATAAATATATAAATAATAGCAATTCTGAAATAGATATAGAGTATATTTATATATATACTATATATACTTCTTTTCACTAGATATATATATATGCCTAGGTACGTATATACATATATTACTAGTAATATACTACTAGTATCTATTAAACTATTAGTAGATAAATATCTATATTATATTACTATAACTTTATATACTTATTCTTTCTATTCAATTTTATTAATAGTATAGTAATTTATATCTATCTATTTATCTATTTATCTATTTATATTTCTTATTATATATCCTATTATATCTATTATCTATATAATATATAATATAATATATACTATATCATATTATATTATATTATACTATATAATACTATAAATCACCTAAAATACAATCCAAGCACCCCTCAGCATCCCCTAGTACTCTTAACTATATATAGAAAGATAAGATTACTATAAAGATATTGTAATTAAGATGGGATATACAATGTAAGCTGTATATAAATATATACCTAGTAAATATAAAGACTAATAGGATAAGAATACGAATATAGATGCTGAAATGTATTATAAGAGGAGGGATAGATTGATTAGATGATTTGGGAGAGGAGAGGGGAGAGGGGAGAGGGGATAGGGAAGA